ATCATTTGGATTATAGCGGGCTGGATGAACCGCCCTAGCCCCACAGTATTCTACAGAGTTGAGGAAGGTTACCATCTTTCTACCTTTGCTTGTAAAATGACCGAAAAATGCACCGCTGAGCGCCGAAGTTTACGCGGAGCAACACCGGAGCCCTCCCAACAACCGCCCGGCAACTTTTGCGACCAAGCCCGCCGAAAGCACCCCCCAAAACTACGCCTTCTCCTCCTCACAAGCAGTTATGGAAAGTTTATGTCATGAGATTTGTTATTTGTGTTAGAAATTCGGCGATTTCGCCTCAGAGTTTGTTGTGATTCGGCGATACGAGCTGTTGTAGTAGCGCTGAGTTTGTCAACATAGCCACTTCCGGCTGCCGCAGCTTCGCAGCTTCGTGTCTGAAAAATGATGCGTTCTGCAAACGGCGAAACCGCGAGAGCCCGGAAAAATCAAGTAAAACTTCAAAGTACGCCCTTTCTCTTCCGTGGCGTTTGTAAACCATTTAAAATGTACGACAGAACCGTTGAAAACTTGTTGAAAACATTCAGAATTTTCTAGAAAAGTTCAGATTTGTAGGTCGATCAAGTATCAAATGTAAAACCCCAAAACACCCTAATTTCGGGCTGTTGGAAACCGGAAGTGCCGATACAGACAGTCGCTTGTAATGTAAGGATCCAGCCCACTCGCGGATTTGGGCGATTTGGGAATTGCCAAAATCACTGGGCTCGTAAGGGGTTTTCAACTTTTTACAGAATTCTGCATATTATGACTTTGTAAATAAGTTTACAAGCGGAAAACATATCATTCTATATTTTGTGGGATATAAGTGAAATAATAAGCAAAAACTTATGAAAATTTATGAGTTTTTTGAAGCAAGAAAAATATTTTACTGTGGACTAGATTTTCCTTTATATACCTCTCTGGTTCAATTCTGCTTATCAAATATGTACATAAGTTCAAAGAATGACTCATTTTACACATTATACAACTGTGTTTTTGTAAACCTAACCATTTTTTTAATGTTTTGTACCTATTTTTAAACGGCAACCTGGCGATAATATATAGACTCAATGCCTTACCCAAAATGCCCTTGTTTTTGCACTTTGACTGACAGAATTAATGTCTGACATCTCCTCATCACCGCCATCTTGTAGAATCATGACCTTGAGGTGTATTCCT